GCAGAACAAGGTCTCAAGTTACAGTGGGGAAGGTCTAGGTTGGATATTAGGGAAAACAATTTCCGTAGGAGGGTGGGGAAGCGCTGGGATGGGTTCCCTAGGGAGAGGGTGGAATCTCCATCCCTAGAGGTTTTGAAGTCCCGGCTTGACAAAGCCCTGGCTGGGATGATTGAGTTGAGGCTGGTCCTGCTTTGGGCAGGGGGCTGGACTCGATGACTCCTGAGGTTTCTGCCAGCCCTAGGATTAAGGTGGGGCAGGAGGCTGGGGCCTGGGTTTATCAGGGCAGCTCCCTTGCTGGGGACAGCGAGGAGAGGGCCCCATTGACCCAAACATGGCAGTTTGGTGCTGGGGCTGGCAGGGAGAGGTTCCCTGCTGCCACTCCAAGCAGCTTCAGGCTTTGGGGAGGAGATCTCTCTCCTCCCTGCAGCCCCTGCACAGGCCTTAATAGGGAGTTGGGTGGCCCTGCATTTTAGGGGGAACTTAGGGCACAGGTGAGCTTGGCTGTCTGTTGCCTGGTCTCAGTTAAACAATAGCTCCATTTTGCAAGCAAAGGGTGGGGAAGGAGGTGCTTGGACAGCAGCCATCCGTGTGGACTCTGCCGATGCCACACGTTGCAGACTTGAACCGTGTTCCCTGTTGAAATTTGACTCGTTCAAATGTTTAGACCCCAGGCAAAGTTCATTTTCCCCCACTTCTCCTCCCCTCTGGAATGTATTTTTTTCAGGCAGCAGTCAAATGTGGCAGATTTCAGCCATAAAGGTAAATGTGCTCAGATTGCTGGAGAGGGAGGAAGTTGACTGCGAGTTTTGTCCTAAATATGACATTGTAACGGGCATGCCAAGTGCCTGTCGGAGTTAAGTTTGCGGAAAAATTTGCCATTACTCCGACATTAATGATCATGTGCTCTGTGAGCACCTACTAAAAGCCATCCTGCGCACAGTGTGAGTGTATTGTATTCCCCAAATCACCTTGTGCGATTGCCTTGCAGTGCTTGTGGCATTCATGAACCAGCAGCTTCTGTAGTTCACCAGGTACTTAAACTATATCCAAGACTCACACCGGGAGATCTAGCACTGCTGTGGAAAGGTTAAGCACTGCTTCCCATATCTGTGACAAATAACAACCCAGATTATTAAAAACCAACGAGGTTCCCAGATCTATTTTATCTTCTTGCTGCTCATCATATTGTTGGACTTTCCTGCTTCATTCAGTGGACCAGAAGTAACGAGAGTGGTCGGTTTCACGTTAGTTTTGGGGGGGGGGGGTTCTGGACTGTTCTGGTCTAGTTTTATACCAGAGTAACTGCATAGAAACTACAAAAGCGGCAAGGAGTCCTGTAGCACCTTATAGACTAACTGAAGTGTAGGAGCATAAGCTTTCGTGGGCAAAGACCCACTTCGTCAGATGCATGTAGTGGAAATTTCCAGAGGCAGGTATAAATATGCAGGCCAGGATCAGGCTGGAGATGACGAGGTGGATCCAATCAAGGAGGATGAGGCCCACTTCTAGTAGCTGATCTGGAGGTGTGAATTTCAAGAGAGGAGAAGCTGCTTTTGTAGTTAGCGAGCCATTCACAGTCTTTGTTTAATCCAGAGTTGATTGTGTCAAACTTGAAGATGAACTGTAGCTCAGCAGAAACTAAAGAACTAACGAAGCGATGCTGTGAAGAATCGGACCCTTTGGGTTGGGTCAGGTTCGTGTGTGTGTTTAAGTCTTTCCTGCAGCTGCTGGTGGGTTTCAGTTTCCAGCATGGAGTCCTGAAACACTGAGATTTAATAAAACCACAAAAAAGCCTGTTTTCCATTCAGTCTCCAGGCACTGAAGGTTTCATGAGTCCCCCATTTCCACTCCGACCCATGTAGTTTTATTGAAATGTAAACAGTTCCCTTTGCAAAATACCAGTGTGCCTTAGGAGAGCGATGTAGCAAAAGGAAATACAATGCAAATGTCAGTTGCTTTCACATCTCTTTAGACAGATCTTTCTATTAATACAAACAAAGGAAATAACAAATATCGAAGGGGAGTGACAGCTCCCGGGGGAAGTAGAACCCTCCGTAGTATCAGTGTGGCATCCGGGAGCAGGGACACCGACGGCCTCCATGGGCAAGTGTCTGGGGGGGGGGGAGCTGAGGCATAAGAGGCAGGGCCAGGGGCAGCCAGACCTCATCACCATAGCAACCATGGCACCCCTTCAGCCCCCCTCCACAGAGTGCTCCCCACCCTTAGTGCTCCTACCCAGGCTCTGGAGCACAATGCTCCAGTGGTGATATAAAGGGCTTGGAGTGCCAGTCTCTGCTGCAGTAGTAACTGGGCGCCCCAGGCTCCTTTGAGTCGCTGGGCCCTGATTCAGTGAGGACACGTCACGGCGAAGCAGGCGGAGGGCGCCTTTTGCTTTCTCCAGTCAGGCTGGCAACCCATCGCTCCGTGTGGCCTCGTGCGAAGGGCGAAGCAATCCAAGGCCGTGTCTGATTTGATTGCCGCCTAAGGCCAGGCGGGCTGGCCCAAGAGAAGTGGGAGCCATGCCAAGATAAGGAAGAGAATGAAAGAGAAGGAGGTGATTAGTGGGCGAAGCAGGCGGAGGGCGCCTTTTGCTTTCTCCAGTCAGGCTGGCAACCCATCGCTCCGTGTGGCCTCGTGCGAAGGGCGAAGCAATCCAAGGCCGTGTCTGATTTGATTGCCGCCTAAGGCCAGGCGGGCTGGCCCAAGAGAAGTGGGAGCCATGCCAAGATAAGGAAGAGAATGAAAGAGAAGGAGGTGATTAGTGTGCCAGGCTGAGGGGGGCATTATGGCCGCTCCAGTGCAAGAGTGCTGAAGGGGGAACACGTACGGGGAAGCTGTTCGTGCCCACTGCACGCTCCTTGCAAAGACAGCCGCCGTCGGTCGCTTGCAAGCTCCCGTGGGTGGGGCTTTGGCTTATGCTGCTGTCAGCATGATTAGCCCCAGGCTACGTCTAGACTGGCATGATTTTCCGCAAATGCTTTTAACAGAAAAGTTTTCCAGGAAAAGCATTTTCGGAAAAGAGCGTCTAGATTGGCATGATTTTAACCAGAAAGGACACTCTCTCAATGACTTAACCACCTGCATTCTGCTACAAAGACCTTTTACATCTGCACTTGAAAGGGAATCCTCTGAACTATCATTCATGTTAAAATTCGACACTTTCCAAAAAGGACTCAACAAACATTTGAACTATCTCACCCATTACCAAGATAGTTTCCCCAATTATCACCTCTAATACCATTAACTCACAAACATCCCACTCTCCCTACCTCTAATATCATCAATTCACAGACACTTACCTTCCTTCCCCCTCCCCCCCACCGCATCCCCCTCCTGTTCTGCAATGTGATTTGTCCTTTTCATATTTGTTCTTTTTTTTAATTGTATCCTTTGGTATATACGGTTGTGACTACTTTCTTCCACTATTTGATCTGAGGAAGTGGGTCTGGCCCACGAAAGCTCATCATCTAATAAACCATCTTGTTAGTCTTTAAAGTGCTACATTGTCCTGCATTTTGCTTCAACTACCCCAGACTAACACGGCTACATTTCTATCACCAATCTGGAGGGGAGCTAGAGCGTTAGTGTGGGAACCTTGAGTCTCGAGGGCCACACTCACGTGAGCTGGGGTATTAGGTTCCTCACCCCTGCTTTAAAAACAAAACCTCTTACTCTTAAAAATCGATCCCCGTATCTCTGGTCGGACCAGCTTCACGCAGGTCCTCGGGGATGGAAAACTGCAGCAAACTGTATGAACAGAAACAAACAGAAGCCCCAATCGCAGCTGGAGGTGGGGCGAGGCTGCCCCAGCAGGGACACAACGGGGCAGCCGCCCCCAGAGAGGGAAGGGTGGGCCAGCAGGGACACGTGCCACAGCTGCCTCTGAACACTATGCTCCTCCACACACCAAGAGACATTTCTGCCTTTCAACAGCAAGATGCCGAGGGTACCACTGCTTCGGCTCTGCACCTTCTTCCCAGCGCTGGGTTCTGGAGGGGCCAAACTCAGCCTCGGTCATGTATCTTTGGGGCTTTTCTGAACCAATTCTGTGTCTGCTGCAGGCCTACCACAGCGAGTGGCTGTGTGAGACGCGTCCGACTCAGGGACGGAGGATGTTGATTTAGGCCCTGTATGATAATTAAACGTGCAAGGAGTTTTACAGAGGCGTCGGCCACTTCCCTGTGGGGAGGGGGACCGGATGTCCCGATGGGAGGCTTTTTCTTACACAGGCTCCTGTGACCTTCCACCCCATCCCAATATTTCACACTTGCTGCGCCGGGCCAAGGGTAGCTCTTGGCTGGAGCATGAGAAGCAGGAAGGGAAAGTGCCTAGAATCAGAAGTGACATTATGCAGGTCTGTTTCACCGACGATGCTGAGGCTGAAGCAGAGGTGAAAGTAAGGCAGCGTTTCCGTTTCCGTTTCCCGGGGGCATGACCTTTCCACCGGTCCGGGACTGCCCCAGCCCTGAGCCTCATGCTGCTCGTGGCTTGCTGTTCCCCTTCCCTCGGTGTCAGGGAGTGAGGGGACAGCACAGAGCGTCCCTGCGTCCCTCACCCTCCCTGCTAGTGTGGGGCAAAGGGGGGCTGAGGAGAGAGCGACACGCCCAGCGTGCTTCCCTCTCACTCCCTGACAGGGATGGAAGGGGCACAGCAAGCAACAAGCAGCGTCGGGCGAAGGCTGCCCTTGCCCCCCAATACTCCCCACACTCACTCCGACCCTCTTCCCTGAGCCCCCCGGTCCACTTCCTGCACCCCCCCACATGTCCCGACCTTCTGCCCTGAGCCCTTCCTCATATCCCCCAACCGTAACTCCTGCACCCTCCCCCCGCACACACCGTCCTGACTCCTGCACCCCCACCCCTGCCATGAGCTGTCCCCCCTCTCCTCAGCCTGCCACGAGCGTCAGGATTTCTCGAAGAACACCTCACGTGTGTGGCTTATGCACCGCTGCGACGCTGTGACTTCACTGTGGCTTTCTCCCCTCTCTTTTCTTTGTGCAGGAAAGAAAAAATGCCCCCCTTCAAATGTGCCACCCAGCGGGGCCCAGGGACCAGCCACACAGGCCGCAAGCTCGAGAAGAGAAGCCAGACGAACCCTACGGAGCACGCTCACTCGTCATAACGACATTGGGAAACAGGCGCTGCTGAGGGAGCGGAGTTGGGTCCGCACCTTTTGAAGGGGGGTGGGGTTGAAATCGGTCTCTCTCTTTTTCCCAGATAAGCAACACAACAAATAGTCGGGGGGAGGAGGGGGACAGAAATCAGCTAGAAATGTTACAGTTGGTTTTCTTTTTACCGAGGGAAAATCCGTCCCTGGCCTTTTGGCACATCTCTGGAAGATGTGAACAGAGAGATTCACAAACACCATTAACTGGAGCCGAGCAGCCATGAGTTACAAAAAGAAGGGCCCTGTAGACCTCCCCTCGCTCTGTCATTAGAGGGGTAGTCTGCCCACTGAGCAAACAATTCAAAGCCCCAGTCGGCAAGTGCCGGGTCTACCCCTTCTGTGTAACATTCAGCAGCGCCTGTGCAAGTCTCCTGTGCTTACCGGGTACTAGCGTGTACATAAATCGCTCCTGCAGGGAGGCAGGCGTGCTCCCCTGTGCTCTGCTTTGTGCCATCTTTCATTTCCTGGCCTCGCTCTTGGCTCTTCCCTCAGATCTTGCCATGAGAGACTCTGGAGCGCTCTTCATTGAGAGCGGCGCGTGCGTACCAGTGCACGTGATGGTTAGGGCTCCCAGAGCCTGGGCTGAGCCGGGGTGGGGAGGATGTGTGGGGCCCAGTCCCTTGGCTGTCTTTATTGTGCCTCCAGAAGCCAGTTGCAGTCACTCTGCTCGCCCACGTCACAGCTATAGCCTGTGCTCCCCAGCAGATGCTGGTTAGAATATGCACCCAGGGCAGGGCGCATGGTTGGCCGCATTGATTGGCCTCCTGACAGGGGTGAGGGGCAAACCCTGGGGCAGGCTTTACCTCCACAAGCTAGAGCGGCCTATGGTAGGTACCCACAGGGGAACCTGTGTGAAAAGCCACCTCCAGCAGGCAGCCTCCTCCCCAGGCCTCACCGCACCCGGCTGAAGAACCTCTCTGCTTTTCAGGGAAACCGATTTGAAACTCTAGGGAAAGGCCTAATCTATCGAGTTTTACTGTTCCCTTCTGGGATCCCCTTCTGCTGGTTCTATGAGGTTCTGGAACGGGGTGTTAATGGACCTCTCCATCCCCAAACCTGGGGGCATTGAGAGCTTGGCTTTAGCACCAGAATTCTGGCTGCTGACCCCTGGTCTGAAATGGCCCTCGGCAAAATTAAAAGCAGCCTTAGTTTAAGTTACCCTGGCTGCAGTTGTCCCACAGGGCCTGCTATAGCAGCAGGGAATCTGGCTGTGCCATGTTCTCCACCCCTCTCCGAATATCCTTGTCCTGGCCCCCCCACACCCCCTCAGGTGAGTGTAGGGGGCTCTATGTGGCATGAGGATTCCCCTCTCTTAGGAGAAAGCTTTGCAGGCAGAAGATACGGTTTCAAGTTCTGTGGTCCGGGTACAACTCTCATGCATAGCTCTATGGCGACGTCTGAACATACGACCAGATCTGCAGCCCGTGTATTGTGTCTCACCGCCCTCCTCCCCCCCACCCAGGCCTCGCTGCAGATGTAAAGGAAAGCAGAATATGGCCCTGTTTGGATCTGAAAAAGAAGCAAGTTCCAAGAAAGCGACAAACCTGTAAATGCACCAAAGTTGTCAAATACAATCCATCAACCTGATTTTTTTTTTTAATCTCTGGGAAGGGGAGAGCAGGGGGAATAGGAAACAAGTTGAGAACAAGAAATAAGATGACCCACGGGAAAGAAAATGATAAAAACAAACTCAATATTGTCAGCATTTCAAGGTTACGGGGTTAAACTGTGTGCATTTTTAAGGAGGATGAAGTGCCTTAATATGATGAATACCAATGCATCTAAAAGGCACAGTGGCTGCTTTCCTGGCTCTCTAAGCAGAGTAATGAATAGTGGTGACAGCATGATAATTAAAATGACCTCTTGGAGATATGGATTAGAAGGCACGCAGAGCGGGGATAACTTGTCCTTTGAATTAATCTAGTGTTAATTTATTACTATAGTTGGATTTTATAAGGTTTTAGTGGAAGACTTTCAAAGTTGGTTTACTTGGGGGGGATGGGGAGGAATGTTCCCTTTGCATGTTGATTGAAACAAAACGTTTGCAGAATTCCTCGGTGTTTCTTTCTGAATAGCTCCATGTAGCTAGGATTTCGGGTAACGTCTCCTGTTCGTTGGGAGAATCCACCCTAGAAAGGATTAATAAAGTGATAAATGCAACAGCTGAGCGTGGCGCTGCATTTTCTTCTCTTCCTCCCTGCAGCTGTGTTCCTAACTCTCTGGGCTGGCTGGATCGTGAAGGGTGCCCAATGGAAATACCATTGCTGTCCTCCCGCTCACCCCGGTTCTCAAAGGTTTCCTTCATCTGGCTTCCGTAGTCAGGCTGTTTTAGTTGACATGGAAATGGCTTTATTGCCATGGAGATCAACCTCTCTTCTCCTGACCTGCCTCCTTCCTCCTGCATCTCACCCAGTCCCTGCAACATCTCCCTCTCCAGTGTATTCCACCATGACCTCTTCAGGCAAGGTTTGAGACTCCAGGTACATTTCTACAGTGCAAGGGGGCTTCACTCTGGGCATCGTTGCAATAGAAATGCTGAACAGTGATGGTCTCTGAGACCCATCAACTCCCAAGCAATAGCCCTGGTCCTGCCACCAACGTGGGCACCCATTCCACCTTTGTCACCCCATCTGTAAACAGAGAGTAAAAATAGTAGCAGTTACAGCCCCTTTGACTCTCTTCCCATTGGCACGTATTTTATTCTGCAAGCAGTTCCATGTGGGGTGTGGTACAACATAAGTAAGGGAGGCCCTTCATGTTTCTACAATGGGAAATGCTACATAAATGCTAACTCTACTGTATATTTTAGAGAGTTTATTTGATCAAGACTCCTCCTAAACGGTAAAAGATAGGGTCACCAAATTCGGCATGCAGTTTCATCTGATCATAACTTAAAGAAACATAAGGGTCTTGTGGTGCCAGGAAAATGGGGTGTGCCTGGAATTGCTTCTCAGAAAACCAGAGAGAGCAGAGAGAATCACCAAATCAAGCACAGTCCTCAAAACTGACATAACTGAGGAATGTGGAAAGAGACTGAACCAAGAATCCCAGGGCTAGAAGAGACCTCAGGAGGTCATCAAGTCCAGCCCCCTGCCCAAAGCAGGACCAACCCCAACTAAATCAACCCAGCCAGGGTCCCGTCAAGCCAAGACTTAAAAAACGTCAGGGATGGAGATTCCACCACCTTCCTAGGTAACCCATTCCAGTACGTCGCCACCCTCCTAGTGAAATAGTTTTTCCTAATGTCCAACCTAGACATTTCCCACTGTAACTTGAGACCATTGCTCCTTGTTCTGCCATCCCTCACTACTGTGAACAGCCTCTCTCCATCCTCTTTGGAACCTCCCTTCAGGAAGCTGAAGGCTGCTATCAATCCCCCCTCCACCCCGCCACTCTTCTCTTCTTCAGACTAAACAAACCCAAATCCCTCAGGCTTTCCTCATAGGTCATGTGCTTCTCAATAAAGCTTTTAGAAAAGAGATAAAATGGAGAAATTGGAAGTAGTGCTCTGTTTTGGCAATGCATACAGTTTGAAAACTAAAAGAAAATTTTATTGGGCTATAGTCAATTTGGTTTCCCTTTTTTTGTTAAATCAGAGCGAGTGATAGGAGTGTATAGGGACGAAGAAAAAAATACACAATGAAATTCCTGTTTAAAAAAATTTACTAAGATTAACTTCATAAAAATAACACTGTATTTTTGAAAAATACGATCACTTCAATAAATCACGTACATTATCCTTTTATTTTCCAAAAAACAACCTCCAAGATGCATTGAGTTGAAGACCTGAGCAATGCAAGGTAAATATGCTAGTAATTCATAAAATTCAACCTCTCCCATAACTCTTCAGAGCCAAATTTGTGAAGTTCTTTCAGAGAGCCAAGGCGTATGTGTGTTGCTTGGAGACAGATGGACCAATGCATGAAAGACAACTCCCCCCCTCGGTATAGATTTACTACATCTAGCGATCCTATGCCTCCCAGCTCATCTTCTCCTGTCAGTTTCATTTGAAGGAGAAACAATCCTGTACACAATGGAATGAAGATTTTCTTTAAGAGAATGATGTCTGTTAAAGCTTGATGAATTAAGGGGGCAAATGCCAGTATGGAGCATGCAAAGATCTCCAAGGAGGACAAGCAAGATGTGAGGTGGAGGTTATTTGCAGTGACATAAAAGGAACGGGAAAGTGCTTTGAGGCAGCTGTTTCTTTATAACCAATATAATATTTTCTGTTACAGCAGGAAGTGGTTTTGCATTTAATATTAGCAATGAGATTGTCCTCTGATTGGTCAAAGCTCACATCAAGGAACAGGAGAAAAGGCTCCTTTTTTTTAAAGCATGAGGACAGAACTAGTATGTTCAAGGAATGTGTGGGGCTAGGAGCCAAATTCAACAGAGGTCTATGCAAGCTGAATGGCCATTGTCTTGACTAGGAAAACCAGTCAGTTCAATCGTATGTGCTGCCAAGTGGTCTTTGGGAAAGTACATTTAGAAATACTTCTTTACACATCACTAAGTGGTCTGAGTTAGACATCCTGCAGCAGTGAGTTCCATGGGTCAATCAAGTACCACGACTGGATTGTAGGCGAGGACTAAGTCGTTACATGACTGTTGCATAGAAGTCGAAGTGTTTTTATTTCCTATCAAGGGCCATTTTTTAATTTGCCTCTGGATGGATGCAGGGGGGCCTCGTTGAAATGAAATGAGAGCTGCAGCTGCAGATGGGGATCCAGCGTGTGCCTTCTGAAACACAGTTCTGAAGGAGAAAGGCCAAGGTAAGAGCTGTGCATGTACAACACACGTGTATATGGGCTGTGGGTATGCAGAAGAAGCGGGGAAAGCAAGGGATCGATTGCTGGCTCGGTGCACTAAGGTAACCCAAACTGTAAGGTGCTGCCCTGCAGTGGAAGTGATGAGGGACGCATTACTCATGGAGACACTCTGGGAGACATGGATCCCCAAAAAGGCACATTGCCGGCCACCGTATGGAGGGAGAGCGTCCACCCTCCAGGTGCATACCGCAGCAGGCTGCATCTGCTAGCTAGTGCAGCAGGGGCCAAAACCCTCCACAGACCTTCATGGAGAAGGGCCCGTCTCCCTGGCTGCCCCTCCCCCCTACATGAACACCACCTGGGCACACAGAGCCAGAGCCTGGCCAGGAGATAGGACAACAGAAGAAAAATTCTAGCTGAAAAGAATTCTTGTCCCAGCTGTGAACAGTGCCTGTGTCTTCCCTTCTTGAGGGAGACGCTCCATGTCTCAGAGGCACTTGGAGATACATTATATATCTGTCCGATAAAACACCACGATAATGCCAATCAGATCAGAAGGCAGATGGGTTGGATGCAAACAGACCTATTTTAGATTCAAAAGTCCTGTGCCGGGACCCCCTGCTGGTCATCATACCTAACTTTGGACAATGCATTACGACTTCAAATGCACATCATCTCGTGAAGTGGGCTTTGCCCACAAACACTCATGACACTCTAGAATTTTTTAGTCTCTAAGGGTATGTCTACACTACCACCCTAGTTCGAACTAGGGTGGTTAATGTAGTCATTCAAAGTTGCAAATGAAGCCCGGGATTTAAATATACTGGGCTTCATTTGCATCTTGCCGGGAGCTGCCATTTTTAAATCCCCGTTAGTGCAGACTCCGTGCCCGCGGCTACACGCGGCACGGAGTAGGTAGTTCGAATTAGGCTTTCTAATTTGAACTACCAGTACACCTCGTTCCACGAGGAGTAGCGGTAGTTGGAATTAGCCGAATTCAAACTACCTACTCCATGCCACGTGTAGCCGCGGGCACGGAGTCCGCACTAATGGGGATTTAAAAATGGTGGTGCCCGGCAAGATGCAAATGAAGCCCAGTATATTTAAATCCCGGGCTTCATTTGCAACTTTGAATGACTACATTAACCACCCTAGTTCGAACTAGGGTGGTAGTGTAGACATACCGTAAGGGTGCGTTGACACAACACCCTAAACTCAAAATAAGGTACACAATTTGCGCAACGCAATTGGTGCACCTGATTTTGATTCCATTTCGAAATAGCTTATTTTGTAATGTGGCGCGTCTACACAGCACCAAATTTTGAAATAACACACTATTTGGAGACATCCCTTAACCCTCATGGAATGAGGGTTATAGGGATGCCGAAATAACGTGCCCGTTATTTTAAAAAATACTTTGAAATAATGGGCAGCTTGTTAAGACGTGGGGTAGCTATTTTGGGATATCCTGAAATAGCCGCGCAGTGTAGACATACCCTAAGGTGCCACAGGACTGCTCGTTCTGTCAAGCGCATAGCCTTTCAATCTGGCACAAAGCAAGGCTCTTTGTTTTGGGGGCTGGGGGATCCGGTGCGTTCGCACACTGTTTTCTCCAGCATCTTGGGAGAGCGAGCCCATAGGAAGAGCAATGGCAAATTAACTCTCTGTACACAGAGGCTGATTCATGAATATTCAACCCCTGAAATTACCTTGTTTTCTGTGCAGCCTGCTCTCCTGACAAGAGCATCCTGCTGCCACCCCCCACGCAGACGGTCTAACTCTGTTGAATTGGACTCTCGCGGTGAGGGGATTATATATTCTGACTGGAGCTGCGTTTGCAATTATTTTCTCTGCTGCACCAAAGACCTTTACTGCAGAGCTGCAAACCAGTTATAGGAACATGAAATGCTTTGACTTCTTCACTAGGGAAACATTAATCAAATCACAGGTTATGTCCATTACAGACTATGGCAATATTGTGTACAGGAATTCCCGGGAGAAAAGTCTACAAAAATTGGAATCTCTCTATAACCATGTTATGAGATTTACTGGTGTGGATAAAATGGGCAGAGTTAAAATTACCAGGCTGGCTATCTCTAAAAGACAGGTGAAGGCTGCTGGGTATCATTGCTTCATAATATTACAAATGGAAAAGCCCTGAAGTAATTGAATAACACATCTGCTGAAAAACCCTGTGAACTGCTATAACCTAAAGATAGACTGCCAGGAAACAATATATATACAGCAGCAAGTTAAAAGGAAAAAAAAAAAGATGCTTTCCTTACCTGCGACCAGAGATATCACAAATGCTGGAGTTTCTCATCTCCTCCATAGATCGTTAGATGAGAAATCAATTTCATCAGCATCTTGAAGGATGGT